GAGAAGTAGTTCTCCTCCTCTCTCTCTCTCTCTCTCTCTCGATTCCCCTTTTGGGAAATTTTTTGAAACAAGAACAACACATTCGTTCGAGGAATTATATAATGTTAATAAGGATCGTTTTAGGAAAGTTTTTCGACGAAGTTGGTGGTAAAGGTTGACTGTTCCATTCGATATTCGTTTCTTCGTGATAACGATAAGAGTTCAACAATTCGAAAAATTCTCTAAAACGGTTCGTGTAAACGGAGCTTCGTCCTGTCTGCCCCGCTTTCTAATTTTTTTAAAAGATCGATAAATCATCCAATCATCTAATTGGTTTTCATATCAAAGTCTGGAGGTCTCGTGATGATATTGGAAACGGAGGAGAAATATCTTTAACGTATCCTTTTTTTTCTTTTTGCCCGGCGGCGGGCAAATGTTTGAAATTTCTCGAGCGTTTCACTCGATATTCACCTACACTCGCGTCTCGAATGCCGGGCACACATTTGTAAATAAGCACGATACTTTTGATTCGGCAGCGTTTCACCCTTCACAAGGTTCCCTTCCAATCGTTCGTTCATTCATTCGAATCGGCTTTCTTTGAACGTCTGTCAAGGACAGACGTGGATCGGTTGCGCGAACCTTCTTCCTTTCTCGTTCGTTTAATCATCATCATTCACAATCGGGGGGGGATCCGCGTTTCCGTCAGTTCTACTTTCGCGGAAAGTATCGGTATTGGGCAAAATTTGAATTTCAAAATCGATAACTCGATAACAATTAATTAACTTTCTTCTCTTTCCGGAATTAGTTTCGAACTAATTAATAACACGTTGTCCGACGAATTATCCAACAACATTAATCAGAGATTTACCAAATAAATAGATTTAATTATCCCCGGGCAAACAATCCGAGTATAATCCACGATCGAGGTAAACCGAAAACTCGAAACGAGAGAGCTGTTTTCAAAAGTCGTTGGAACTCGATGCGAAAGAAAGAAAGAAGCTCCCTTTTTCGAATTCGTAAATGAAATTAACACGGCCGACTTGCTCCCACGCATAATTCTCGAATTTGATTTCCGCGCTTCCACGCGCTCTCCTTGGTCGAATAAACTCGAAACTGGAAGGAAGTGAAAAAAGAAGGAGTTTATCTCTCACCTTGTCCCTGATTTCCTGTCGCATCTTCTCCCGTTCCTCCTCCATTTTGCGGTGTTTCTCCTTCCTTCGCTCCTCGGCCTCCCTGATGGCTTCTTGCCTCTCTCTCTCGGCCTCCTCTTCCTTCTCCTTGTCATCTTCGTCTCCGCCTTCGCCACCAACGGCTCCTATCGAAACAAAAGGAACACGACGCGTTTACTTATCGCAGTTCCTCCTCTATTTTTTTCGCCCCGGGGACGAAGGATAATTAGTTTTAGCGTGATTAAACCGAGATTCGAGCTTGCGATGTAAAAGGAAAAAGAGAGAGAAGAGAAAAAGAATGAAAGAAAAATAACAAAAAAAAAAAAGAAAAGGATTCTTCGCTCCGTTTCCGTCCGATGGTAATTTAACCCTCCTTCCATTTCGGTTATAAGCAAACCATCGGGATAATAGGCGACGGGAAACTAACGGTTTACTCTTGGGAGCAAACATTGTAAATCAGCCCTGTACAATTCCGCCACGCTATTCCCTTCGAGTTTGTAAGCCATCGGTGCTTCTCTCGACTCCCCGCGAAAATCATCTCTTGCTTTTGGAAAAACTTGACTTCGATCATCTTTCTTTCCGTGGCCGAGAACGATATTGTAAGACGCACAGTGAAATTTTGACATTGACGATTATTTAAAATAATCGAGATATATTTAGATTTTTGTAGAATTTCGTTCGTTCGATAAAAAAATTCCAATATTAGACGCTTCGTGATTCAGTAATTTTTCGTAATAATGAAATTTCGAACAATACTTTGGGAAAAACTCTTTCTGCGATCTTTTCTAAATTTTGATCGGATTAATTTCTTACGTTCGTTCTTTCGAATTCGCTTCTTCGATCATTGACAGTCGAGAGATCGAGAAGAGAGCGAGGAGAAATCGGTGGCTTCGAAGCGGGTGGGGTGGTGGAAATGGCGGGAGGTTGGACGGCCTTAACGAAGTTTTATTAGTTTACCGAAAGATTAAGCGGATTCGCAGAGAGTTGCTTGCCTATTACTCGTTCAACCGCTCTTAACGAGGGTGGATCCGGGGAGGGGAGGGGAGCGTTCTACGAGGAAAAATCGTGTTTACAACGGAAACACATCCGGCCATTCGTTTTTCGACGGAACGCGATACCCCTCCGTTGCCTTCTTCCTCTTTTTCACTCTTCTCTCTCTTCTCTCTCTCTCTCTCTCTCTCTCTCTATATATATAGAGCTAAAAATATGAAAGTTGTTTGCGAATCTGTTAGCCGGACGCCTCTTAACTTTTCCCTCGTTCATCCTCGTCCGACGGGGAGGAAAATATTAATGGAGAACAAAGGGAAATTTGTCTCGCGTAACGCGCAAATATATCTCGGTGTCTCGTATTTTGTGAAAAAAAAAGAAAAATATAATAAATTCGTACAATTCTTATGACTCCATGCTCTGAAAAATTCGCAAGATTCGATTGTCGTCGATATGGACAATTTTACGTGGATTTAAATTTTTAAACGTTTTGACTACAAAGTTTCGCAAAGTTTTTCTTCCGTGTCCGGATTTCGAAAACCGTTTGGCGGAGGAAAAAGGAGATTAAAAAGGGAAAGAAGAAGAAGAGTTTGAAAAATTTGAAATGATTTAAAGGGAGATTCAATGCGAAGGCAGCAGTCTGCGCCACACGCGTCAACCTGATGTTATTATTCGCTCACATGCCCGTCATGCTTAACATCAAACCTCCGCGCACGAGACGTGACAGGTCTCTATCGAGAGTGGGATTCGAGCGACAGGATTTTCACCAACGAGATCGGTCGATTCCTCTTTTGTTTTTTTTGTCACGAGAGAGAGAGAGAGAGAGAGAGAGATTCTCGAAATCTCGTCGGAAAAAAAGAAAGAAAGAAAGAAAGAAAGAAGGAAAGAAATAAGTAGAATCGGAATCCCAGAGAAAGAATATTCCAGCGCGTGTAACGTGTTATGGGAATATCGGTGAGGACAGAGGGAAACGAAAGGGATTCGTTCGTCTTTGCTTCGTGTCTGGCACGGAGAATGATGTGCCAGGACCTCCGGGCTCGAGGAAATTAATACTACTTCTGTCCCGGCGCCGTCTACCATTTTCCCTTTTCTTTACGTGCTATCTCGTCCCTTCTATTTGCAGTGTTTCCCGCAGCACTGGTTTTCCGCCACGGTGGAAAGGTACTTTGAAGTCCGAGCCAGAGACGACGTTCATTCTCCGCGCCCTCCCCCCCCCTCCCCCCCCCTCCCCCGTTTCTGTTTTTATCCCTCGACCTGACTTTCGCCCGACACCGTACCCTTCTTCCTTTCCTTCCTTCCTTCCTTTCTTCCTTTCTTTCCTCCCACCTGTGAATCAGAAGCTCGAAGAATCGAATAATTTCGTTTCGTTTATCCGGAGAATATTTCTCCTCTTTTATCGGAGCTCTAGTTTTCCCTTTTCCTCTATTCAACGAATGTTAGAACGATTAGGAGAGATTAATCGTTGGATCGAATCGTTTCATCGCTCCTTCTTTCCCTTTCTTCTCGCAAATTGGAAAGGTTTATAATTTCGTTTTTAATTCGTTTACCATCGTTTCCCTGCTTCTCTTTTTCATCGCGAAAAATTTTCATTGGAAAAATTATATTATCGTCGAGAATTGCATTTACCACGCGCGTTGGATTAACTTATCTCGCAAATTATTCATCGAAATCACGAAATCTGTCCGGATTGCTTGCTCCTCGTTCCTTTGCAGAGCGTGAAGAGTGGACGCGTATTAATTAGAGGCCGTTGTAACTCGCGTATTATCCGGTAATCGTTGGGAAGCTCGTTTCGTTCCTTTTTTCTTTTTTATATGTGTTTTTTTATGTGTGTGTGTGTGTAAGTTGCGCTAGATACTTTGTCCGATTAATTAATTACGCTGGTTGGTTTTTAACGCTACGCCACTTAATCGTTCCTCTCCGCTTAGCCGTTAAGCCGTCTTTATCTTATCGTTTATACACACCGGATGAATTTGCATTATCGCACGCTTCTTTTCTTCCTTCTTCCACGTCCTTCCTTGTCTTATCCTCGCCCGTTCCTCGACTCCCTCCCTCGTCGAAGAATGACGATCGACGACTGATGGACCAACCAACGGATGGCCTTTCGAAAAATTCGTTCCACGAACGGATGAAAATAAAATCCACTTATCTCTTTGTCCACTCGACCGTACGTTCGTTCGTTCGTTCATTCGTTCGTTCGTTCGTTCATCCATCATCCCAGGGCTTTAATTAAATTTACTTATTTCACTTGACACTGATCTCCGTCCTTCCATCTCGAATTCGGCCTAGTTCGTCCTGTCAAACCCATCCCAAAGGATCAAAGGATGGTTTAAAAAAAGAAAAATTGGGATGCCTCCCCCCGTAAATCGAACGATTCTTTTCGAGCAAAGAATTTATCGAGAAAAAAAATTCCATTTCCTTTCACTCGAGAATATCCTTTCCCTCCCTCCTCGTCCTCTTCTCTTCTTCTTCTTCTTCTTCTTCTTCTCCTTCTTCTTCTTCCCGGCCATTACTCGCGTAATATATTTCTTCGACTACGATTATCCGTGCTATTCTTTCGCCAAGGTTATTCTTTCCACCGCGCAAATGATTCCTCCGAATGGTCGTAGGATGAAGATAAAAGGAGGGAAAGAAGGAAGAAAAAAAAGGGAGGGGGGGGAGGGGGAAGAAAAAAAGTTTTTCACGGCGTCATTTTGTTGGCTCGATTTACGAACGGCGCCGCTCATCTACGCGGAACATCATCTCCCGGGTGCAATCGTACAACAAGAACGGCCATAATGGCGAACGAGGACAATTGTGTCCCCGGTGCAAATGGAGCGACGAAGGAGGAACATTGTCATTTGCGCCGACATTTTCACGGATCCGGATCGTGTCGTTTCGCGCCATGGCGCCGAGATCACCGTCAACTAAACGATCCATACTTTTACCTTGTCTCGCCTCTCTCTCTCTCTCTCTCTCTCTTACTTACTTCCTT